TTCGAAATTCGCGTTAATTTCATGAAGCGCGGTGACTTTCCTATAATAAGGTAGTAATGATATATAGTGGAATTCTCTTTACAACTGCATTGCTCTGATCGGCCAGTTCTGACGAATAGTATTAGCGCCCTTAGTTTATATCAATATTCATACCATAAGTATCTTGAACTCGGTTCCTTGTTTATGCCCCACAGCAATGCGACCATCCGCGGTAACTACAATACCTCGTAAGTAAACTAAATCAGTTTCGTTGTGCCCAATGCTTCGCACAATTTCGCCATTTTTGGTGTAAATCACGATTTGCAGGCGACGTTCTACTCCTCTTTCAATACCAGCTACAACGAAATGTTCACTCGCTTGATGGAACGTCGTTTGAGGGCAGTGGTACGATCTTTGCACAGTGAACTTAGAAAGCTGTTCTCCCTCTTCACTAAAGGTGTAAACATGATACGAATCACCCTCGTGGTCTGCTACTACAATACTTCCGTCATTTGCAGTCGCAATGGATGAAGCGCCTTTCAAGATGCCTTCTCCAAAACGATTAACAAACTGGCCGTCTTTCTCATACACGTCAACCACGTAGTGCCCGCCAATCATCTCTCCGCGTACCAGCACTTTATCGTTGTCGCTAATTGCAAGTGAAGAACATCCAAAAGACCATGACCTGAACCCACCCCTGAGAGGAAGAAATTGATCCGACGTTTTTAAGTACACGAAAGACTCTTCTTCGACTCCGGGCCTCTTGCGTGTCAGGAGAACGTAGATATTGTCTTTCTTGTCAGTCGCCACATCATGAATAATTACATCTTTGTCATCTTTTGCCTTCTCGTTAGTCCCAGGGTAGAACGAGTATAAAAACTTACCAGTGCTGGTCAGTGCTGTCAAAAGCCTTTACGTTACGGTCTTCACAGTCGGTAACAATAAAGCCCCCCTGCGTGTTTGTCGCGATTCCACCAGCTTGCTTCAGCCTCTGTTTCTCTTCCCCTTCCTGACCAAATGACCAGTGCGCGGAGAAGTGGTTCATTCCTCACTTTCGTAAAGTAATAGCAACTCTTCCGTCAATCAGTGGATTAACATTCACATTTCCGTTGTCAATATTAACACAAGGCCAGGTTTGTGTGATGTCTTGTAATTCTTTGTTGCCAAAACCATAAACGATACACGTTACATCATAGATGACGCTATTTACGCGACATATAGCTGTAATGATTTCTCTGCGTTCATCTTTGCTGAACCAGCCACGAAGACCCTTCTTAAGTTCGACGGAAAAACAATTTTGAACCGCTGGTAGTGAGTGCAATCTTTCAATGCACAATCTGCA